TTACTTTAAAAGCGACGTACCCGGCCTTGTAAGAGGCCCAGGCCGGCTCCGGCACTCTGGATACTTCGCCAGTGAGCCAGCCGCTAGGTACCCGGCCCACAGACATCGCCCGCCTCCCCAACTGGGAAGCTCTCCTGGTCTGTGCCAGAGGTCCCCAGATCGGGAACACAAATGGGCAGAAACCGATCCCGGCCATGGACAGTGCCAGTTATGTGGGCGCTGTCTTGTGTGGGAACCTTGGACGCCCCCCTCCTTCCCTTTGTCCAGCGGAGTTGCTCGCCCACTGCCCTCCGAAGGCGGCCCGGCTCGCGTGGCTGGTTCTCTCCTCTGAACAGCAGGGAAAGTCTGCAGGACACAGGGCCAGGCTAATCGTTTTTAAATAATTAATGCCTCCCCGTTCCGCTGGTAATGCGCGGCCTCGAATTCGTCAATTACTTGTCATTAGACGTGTGTACTCCGTGGCCTTCCCTGGGTCCTTTGATGGCGCCAGGTCACCTACCCAGCTGAACGGCGGCCGAATGAAATGTGCGGCCCTTTGAGAGCCAGGTGGGAAGTAGCCGCGACCCTCATTCGGGGTGAGTTTTGAAAGAAAGGCCCTCGCTGAAGAGATGTCATCTTCCAAGTGGCCAATTTAAACGCTTAATCTTTGTCACCGGCCTACTGCCTTTCCCCCCAGGTTTAAAGAGAGAAGCCGGTCCTCAGTGTTTTGGGGGCCTTTTTAATGTGGGGGTGGGGAGAAGGGGAGAAAGAGATGAGGCTTAATAGGGCAGGGGTAGGGCTGTTTGCTCAAGAAGGTACCTGAAGACACCTGAGGTAACTGGTTTTGCTTGGGATAGTGCCTCCCGCTAAGCACGGGGGCAGGGGCACCGAGACAATATCTTCTGGAATGTGTAGGTCAGAACTGTCCGAGGAAAGCAGCAGGAGAGGATGTCCTAAAGGGAAGTTTCGCTGAGTCCCTACCCATCTTTGGACCTGGCATTGCAGAATAGTCGGTGCTGGCTATCGCCCATAGACTTGTAGGCACACATAGAGTCCTGCCACACAGAAGAGAGCCCCACCCCCCACACATGTTAGAGCCACCAGTCCCAGTCTGCCGTCCTCTGTCCCCTGCTGTAGCAGAACAATATTTTGAAATGTCTTTGCTGGGTCAGGGAAGCTGAAGACACCAGCACCATGGCAACCCAGGGCAGCCAAGGATTTGTGGAGTGAAATTAAAACACACACACACAC